ATTATCATTATCAAGGTGATCCTGAGATGACCCCATGATTCCCATTGTTTGCGTTAGTCTCATAAATCAACCTTTTAGAAAGTTTGATCTCGGGTTCAGCAGTAATTTTAACAATTCCTTTCTCAGATCGAGAGCTGACACACCGGAGCCAGAGTTGGTAGACTTTCAAGAACCTTCAGAATCTTGTGGAACTGATAAAAATGAAATCTTTGACAATCAAATTCCATTTATTGAATATGACGAAGATTGTGATTACTGCTGGCCACCACTGGAAGTACCAAATAGTTGCCATGGAGACATGGAAATAGAAAGTCAGGTAAAATATATTGTTTATGTGCCATATTAAATTTTCAAATAATTTGAATTATATTGTTTTATGACAATCTATGTCTAAACACATCGAAATACACATGATTGGAATTATTTTGACAATAAACATCAATACACAAAAACGTCCATGGAGCTGGGTCAGTGTGGATCACGTGATAGTCAACTAATTTGATGTCATGTGTTCGTTTTATTATAGAATGTTGCATGGCAAAGTGAAAGCCACGTCATCGATAACCACGCAATGCGGGAGGAATGGACGTACAGTGGCCATTTATTAGAATGTTGGTTAAACGGAGTCGAACGAAACGAGATGTGCCTTGAATCTATTAATTGGTAGGTTTGACAACATGCACTGACACCGAGTCTAAATAAAGATATTTTAACATTTTATAATGTTTTACTTGTAGTTCATTTTTGCGCAATAATTTGGACAGCGTTTACATTCAGGTATTATTAGACGTCAATATTGACTGCTATCCCGTGATCGATAGTTTATAACTGTCACATATGTGTCACGTGATTATTTGTTTCTTTCTTCAGCCCAAGTGATGTCATCGCTTCATCCCAGACATGGTTTTTAGATTATATTAATGACGTAACGACAAGATCAGATCCATACAAGGTGACATCACCGCCTGTATATGCAAATGATCAGAATATACTCGAATCTTGTTGTTGCCTAGCAACACTGAGAGAACAACCTGGATCCGTTGAGTTTGAATTTGGCGAATTTGAAGAGATGGAGACGAATGAACGCCGACCATGTCCGTATTGTGGGAAAGAAGAGAACACGACGACTACGATTACCCCTGAACTACAAAGTTGTGAATCAGAAAGAATAAACGACTTGTGGGATGACAGTACCTGGAAATGGATGAAACGAGGAATTGGATGATTTTTATTGAACAATAAAT